GATCTGCAGTTCCACGGAATCGACGTTTTATTATGATTCAGCGTGATTTAATTTTCCGACGAATAAAAAATAGTTGGACGGAACATCAACGATCGAATGGACAGACAAGCGAGAGACATTGGGCATCTTTGTTTCGACGAAAGATCATATTTTATAAATATCACGAATTTCTTAATCAAGGATTTCATCTTCCACTGCTATGATTGGATAGAGACAGGTGTATTTAACAATAATCAGAATCGAATTACGTAATCGTAGAGTATTCAATCTCATTTATAGGTTCGTACGATTTAGTAATTATTAGTTTCGTACATAGTGCTTATATAAATTCATACTTTTATAAACGCGTCTAGAGGAATGGAAATTAAATGGAAATTCATCTCACCTTTTGAATATTAGAGTACTTTACTTTGGATGTTTTATATATCTTTGTACATTCTTAAATTAAACTTGCGGATAGTTCCATGGAAAGAGCTTGCACTAGGAAAATCATTTCGACGAACTTTCAACCCTCTACCTTTATCATTACGATAGTTGTTGACCTAAACACGATTTACAGTCTGCGCTTGATTTCTTTTGTTATACTTATAGAAAATTATCAGAAAACCCGAAATACCACAACAATAAGAATTACATGCCTGGGAATTTTTCCAGAATTTTTGACCAAATTCTCAATTTTCAAAAAAAAAAAAAACTTTCTCGGTCGAAAAATCTGAAGAATCGGCCTGCTATGTAACACACTATGATCGCAGTATCTCAGATTTCTTTTATAATCCTTTGCAGAGCAGAAGAAAAGAAATGAAGCGTAAACTGTAAACCATGTTCAGCTGGATAACTACCCTAATAACAGGGGTAAGACTTTGTCGAAATGGTTTTCCTAGAAAGCTGTTTCGATAAACGTGTCACAAGTCTAATTCGGTTTAGTGGCACTTTTATCGTGCTTGTTCGGCTCTTTCCCTCTGGTATCCGCGGTTTATTTCGTTCAATATGCCATATCTTGCACGCTAGTCCACAAACCGTGAACATTAGAAGAAAATCTTCGGCATCTTCTCCTTGTTATCACATCTAACGCGTACGAATCGATCGATAAATTACATCTCGTCGCATCCTTCGCTTCCTTGACACGTGATAAGAACCGAACGCCGTTTTCAATCTAGAAATTGCCATGCTCGTAGGATAAAGAGAAAGAGATAATTGCGATGGACGCGCAAAGAAAAGTATCTCTAATTTATAACTGAGAAAAATATCGGAAGAAAACGACCAGCGACTTTTCCACTTGGAATCTTGTAATGTATTTATCACATTCTTCATTCTCATTACTATGTACATACCGCGTATCATGTTTCGACGTATTAAATCTACGGGTATGCATATCGCATTAAATACGCTCTCTGTTATTCATGCGCTATTACTACGATAGATAAATGCTTAATGATGTCGATAGTCACGCTTCAAAGCGAACCAAGTACGGCAAACGATACAATGTTCCAGTGCGTGTATTCGAATTTCGCTAATGAAGCTAAATTGGCCGAATAATAAAAACAAAGAGAAAAAAAGAAGGAAAGAAGAGAAGAGAAACGAAGAAAAAGGCGCACGTGACGTATTAACTGTACACGTAAATCTAAATCGATCTTGATATACAGGGTGGTTGGTAACTGGTGGTACAAGCGGAAAGAGGGCGATTCTACGCGAAAAAAGAAGTCGAAAATATAGAATAAACATTTTTCCTTTGAGGCTTTGTTTTCGAGAAAATCGACTTTGAATTTTCGGTCGGTACGCGTGCACTTTATCACGTCTCGTTATAACGGATCTCACTGTAGATCGTTGTCTCGATTGACTTTAATTTTTAAATTTTTAAATTTTTAAATTTTTAAATTTTTAAATTTTTAAATTTTTAAATTTTTAAATTTTTAAATTTTTAAATTTTTAAATTTTTAAATTTTTAAATTTTTAAATTTTTAAATTTTTAAATTTTTAAATTTTTAAATTTTTAAATTTTTAAATTTTTAAATTTTTAAATTTTTAAATTTTTAAATTTTTAAATTTTTAAATTTTTAAATTTTTAAATTTTTAAATTTTTAAATTTTTAAATTTTTAAATTTTTAAATTTTTAAATTTTTAAATTTTTAAATTTTTAAATTTTTAAATTTTTAAATTTTTAAATTTTTAAATTTTTAAATTTTTAAATTTTTAAATTTTTAAATTTTTAAATTTTTAAATTTTTAAATTTTTAAATTTTTAAATTTTTAAATTTTTAAATTTTTAAATTTTTAAATTTTTAAATTTTTAAATTTTTAAATTTTTAAATTTTTAAATTTTTAAATTTTTAAATTTTTAAATTTTTAAATTTTTAAATTTGTATTCTATATTTTCGACTTCTTTTTTCTCGTAGAATCACCCCGTTTGCGCTTGTACCACCAGTTACCAACCACCCTGTATTTCAGTTTCGCCTCATAGTTGTTATTTTCGCTTCGTGTTTTCATCCAATTATTGTTATTTACTTGTCATTTATTTATCACGCTATTACCGTCCGTAGTAATCTCTGCTTTCGAGCATTTCTGTTGCCCAACGTATATTACATTAATAAAACAGGATGTTTCTTTGTGTAACGATATTTTACGAAACCATCTTACACATAGCGGATTATTAATGTCGTAGATCGTCAATATGGAAATCAACCATGCGAAAGACATTAAATACGAAAGCGTCTTTGCCACGTTCGAGTGATTCGACCGCGCGGCAAACCGGGTCTAACGTTCACTCGACGTGAATTATTATTCGATTCAACTCAATCGAGGTAGTTTGTATCTGACAAGCCGATGAACGATGATAATTTGATTAATTTCGCATACGTGCATATACGATTTATCGACTTGTCTCCGATCTCAGTCTTTTCCTCCGTCAAGCTTTATTTCTGCACCATCATGGATTATTAAAAGATTCGTTAACGTTTCTCCTTCGTTTTCCAATTGTCTTTCGAATATATTATTTTCGAGACTTACTCGCGTAACTCGACCTACAGGTGCAAATTACTCGCATACTTAGTTATACAGGGTGGTTGGTAACTAGGGTGGTTGGTAACTGGTGGTACAAGCGGAAAGGGGGTGATTCTACGTGACAAAAGAAGTCGAAAATATAGAATAAAAATTTAAAAATTAAGAAATTTAGATTAAAACAATTAAAAAAATAACGTCAATCGAGACAACGATCTACAGTGAGATCCGTTCTAACGAGACGCGATAAAGTGCACGCGTACCGAGCGAATATTCAAAGTCGATTTTCTCGAAAACAAAGCCTCGAACGAAAAATTTGTATTCTATATTTTCGACTTCTTTTTTCGCGTAGAATCACCCCCTTTCCGCTTGTACCACCAATTACCACCCTGTATATTATTTTATATCTTATTTTATTCTTTACTTTGCCTACTGTACTTCGCCTCTATTTGATCTACCGATACATTCTCAACTCCTACTACATGAAGTTTCTAGCAAAGTGCATGATAATTTATTGAAAAAAGTGGATGCTGTTGACAGCGAAGGTGAAAACCCGACAGAACCTGTGCATCCGCTTAATATGCACATCCGATCGATCGAAAGCAACGACCGTTGTACATTGGAATAGAATTTCTTAAAAATATACCAAGACCTTATAATCAGCTTGTACCTCTGCAAGAAAGCGATATTTCTACGAGTTGCTTCCGATCCAACCGACGCGTACAATAATTAACCAGAATGAACGGCGTTTCGATAAGCGGGAATCTCGTGCGCGAGTTTCAGCGGCGATTTACGCGGCTAGTTTCGCATAAGTGGACGATAAAGCTTCATTTTGATTTCACCTTCGTGCGCTCGACGGTATGTTTGCGCGGGTCCAGTAATGGAAGTGGCGCGATGCTATCGGTCTAACGGTAATTTTATTAATACCCTTCCACTGAATTGCAATGCACCTGCTGCCACGGCCGACTACAAAGATCGCGTTACAATTTGCACCGGCCGGCAAATCGTTCCGTGTAACTCGTAAGCCTCGCTTTTTACGATTTTATAATCGTTACCCAAAGCGAGCGAGCCATTGCTTTTGCGCCCGGCGTTCACGCGCGCGCGCTATCGTAAGTAATTCGCGCGGAGCCACGTAACTCGACGTCGCCACTTTATCCTGGAATTTCAACGCTTGTTTTGCTTGGTCGGAACGATCCCTGGACCATACGCTTTCAAGCCGTTTACACGGTGCAATTGCGTTGGCGTTTAACATTTTTCGAGATCGACGCTTTTCGCGAATCGTGCGTTCGTTCGGAGGCTTACACCTCGGTGAGAAAACGTCGTGCCACGGATAAAAGGTCTCGGTATAATTTATTACGAAGTGAAATCTTGTCGGATAATGTAGAAAGCATCTTAACCGATACGCAATAAATTATTGCCAATTGCCATAGAAATTTGTTAATCGTACGCTGTTTATTTCATTGGCAGTTTAGATAGGTTTATGGAGATATATCGTTACAAAGTAATCGGAGTATCGTGTTTTTGCATTCGGCGCTTCGAAGAAAGTACGATGGAACGTTGTTGGAACTTTCGGACGATCGTTGAACTACGAAACACGAACGAAGACAACGTTTGCAAATTTCTGTTAAATGTTTTATAAACGCAAAATGACTGAGACTGGAGTTTAAAAAGAAGGCTAGATCGCGTGGAAAGGTTGCACTGTGCGGTAACTTAATATACATTTTTCAACTTATTTACGTCTGTATCTTAATTAGAAATTATGATCGTAAAAATTCAGTTATAGGGAAAAAATATCGTTTTAAAAAAATTTACGAAGCTATTTTGCGACTTTTTTTTATCTTATTCCCTATATTTTTATAGAGTGATCGATCATAATTCGTTCTATTTTTGGAACGTGCCTGATCTATGATACGAAATCGCATTAAAGCGGATTTATTAACGCTTTACGATAACATTTTGCTCTCTTGCTTAGTTATCGTTTACAACCGTAACAGGGTCGTTATAAATCATACGTCGTTAACGTTTCTTTTCTACTCTACCAATGTCAGTGGTTCGTAATTGAAAGAAAATTATAAAGCAATTATTAGCTAAACGTTGCGAGCAATTTCTAAAGTGTCACGCCGTCAGCTAAAATACAAAATTATGTCAAGCATCGAATCGCGAGGAAACGTCAGTTATTCGAATATCGATTATCCAGACGCTAATTACGCGGAAATCCGATTACCTATCGTTGGTTTTCATTTCTCTTTCTTATTTTTGTTTCCGACAGTAGCCGGAGCGTTTCCAAGGAGGATCGGCCATCCTTACCAAAACAGGACGCCACCGAAGAGAAAGAAGCCGAGGACAAGCTTCACCAGGTTGCAGATCGCCGAACTGGAGAAACGTTTTCACAAACAGAAGTATCTGGCGTCGGCCGAACGAGCAGCTTTGGCTAAAACTTTGAAAATGACGGATGCGCAAGTGAAAACCTGGTTTCAGAACAGGCGGACAAAGTGGAGGTGAGTTCTCGACATTCATAGCGTAGGTATTTGTAGCTCTGTTATACTTAACCGAGTACAAAACAAACTTTAAAACGAGTCATCGCCCGAGACGAAAGAGACAGGTCAATGGCAAATTCGACATGCAAATCATTAAAGACGGAAAAAGAAGGAAAAGCTGGAATTAGGTATCGTACCCGGACTGCTAAACGTTTCTCCTTTTTTGATATTTTGTAAACCGTCCATTTTTTGATGGAAATGAACGATTCTGAAAATTCTGCTTGCGAACATCCGGCAGACAATTTCGCCGCTTAGCAGAGGCGTCTATCTTCTTAGGAAAATAACGCGAACCTAATCCATTGCTCGCGATTCAGATGCACAAGGAGTAAGCGACACGGTAACTTAAGAGCATCGAGCAAATTCTAAGAAAGGTATCGCCAAGATCGATGAGTACGTCGCGCGTCGACAGGTCGATCGAAAATTGTTACGCCTTAGACAAATTGTTGCTCGTTCTGGATCCTTGCACGACCTGAACTCTCCTTCCCCCTACCTCTCGAAAGAAAAAGGAGTCCAACGGAATATTTTGCAGTCTATCGTAGCAGTTCCAAAAACTGTCCCTATAAATAGCAGGATACCGATGAAACTACCTGACTTCCGGTTTCTAACACGTCGAATAGGCGAAGCCGAATGTTGGTGTTGCGATTTATCAAATCTCGGCGTTCGAGACGAACCGAAAGTGAAAACGCGAGGTGGAAACCTCGGAATGTTAATAGCGGGTTAGCAGTGTTCTGCGGCCGCGTATCGGCGAGGACGCATCGAAAGTCGAGTGTATTGGAGTCTCTTCAAGATAACGGAGGACGAAAACACGTCATTTAGATAAAACGAGGCCCGTTCGTGGCGCGGGTCGCCCGATATCAGGGGCGTCTACGCGGCGAGACGAGCCCAGAGGCATTTCTCCGGGGGTGCGACTCGTTCTCCTCTTCTTCCTTCCTTAATAGTCGCTTCTCTTCGAGTAGGATTTCTAAAAGCATCCCGCTGCCGTGTCCTTGGCTCGTTCCGGGAAGTATTAGGATAGAAAGATGACTATACTTTGAGAGTAGTTTAGAGGGTTTAGACGAACAACGGTGTCTCTGTCTGCGCAGGTTTTGAAGGAACCAGCAAGGATCGAGGACTGGTGCCTTTTAGTTCTACTCGATCTGTCATCGAACGAGACTGCTGATAAAGGACGCCACTTATTCCAAGGTGTACACTAGGTCGTTTCAAGTTTCTAGTTAGTTCGGACATTTCTAAAATGGGACATTCTTAAAATGGGACATTCTTAAAATGGTTTTTTCTAACGTTTTTATTGCGTTTAGGTATGGTCTCCTCTACGCGTAACCAGCTTCAGTATTTCGCGCATTTATTTACGATCGCTGGTGTTACACAGTCGAATCGGTAATTTTTTTATCCAACGACGATTGTTGCATATGCGATGGATGGGATTGCGAGTTTCTAACGTCTCGTTTTACGAGAAAAGGGATAAGAGATTATCGCGTATATCTTGGTTAGAAGTCAACAAACATTAAATAGACGTAAAATACAGTATATTATTACATTTATATATATATATTTATGAGTACATTTATAGAATGATCCGTAGAAGGAACGCGTACTAGCGATATTTATGTACGCGAATGATTTATTAAACCGCGAAACTTCAAGACGCCCGGTGCCATCGTCCCGTTTACTTTCATCAAGCTCGATAAAATTCTTCATCTTGAAAAATATCGAGTGTAACAACCGAATGATCTAAATTTCCTGCGAGAGTTTTATACGCCGTTTTACGGCCAACGATCCACGGAGTTTTGTGTGCCGTTACCTCTCGCATTGTTCCAGGAGCCATAGAGCAATAAAGGGGCAAATAGGTAAAAACGAGGAATGTAAAACGCGGCCGATAAAAAGCGGAAGAGAACGCCTTCAGAAGGTTCATAACGATCTAATAAGAGATCGATAACAGGACTCGCTGCAAAAACGGTTCGATGCCGTTGTGCATCGGGATCTCGGTTTCTTGTCCTTACCAGCGATATTGCATTTGTCGTAAAGCGCGCAGAAATGAAAATTACGCTTCTTACTCGGAAACCAGGCGATGGTAATTTTCTTTCTCGCTAGAACGCGAGTATCGTCGATCGCGAAACGGTGAATTGTAACGTGTCTTCCTATTTCTATTCTACGACAAGAAGGACAGAGAACGACAGAAATAGAAGAAACGAAAAATTCGAAACAAATATCGCAATCGATAGACGAATTTCAATTCACGGGTTTCGTAGTCATTTTTCTGTCGATGATCGATGGTTTTCGAGAGAACGCAGGGAACGTCACTCGGAATGCGGTTTCAATGGACAGAGTTTGAGATTCTTCGTGAAGAATTCGATAAAATTCAAATGGAATTCGACGAAACTGGTAATTCAATATCTTACAAGGCGTTGATAAAAGAGAATGTAAGATTCTATGGTCGCTCATTTGTTGACAAAAATCCGCGAAGAAAAGTAATTAAAAAAAAAAAGTGTATTTTTATACGATTATTATTTTATTCTCTATCCTTTACGTTCTGTCCTGTAACTGGTGCTTGCCAATCTATTGGTCAAGTCTTTTACGTTTATTAAACATTTCTTATCCTCCTCATGAAACACGTTTTCCGACCGTAGAAATGAAATTTAATGAATTTGTCTTTTTTTTCTTCTGCGAATACGATAGGCTTCTCTTAATAATTTCTTCCGTTTCATCGTGCGATCTCCATCCTGGTTCAACGATTCGTTCAACAAGTTGCGTTAAAAGGTACGAGTTGAAATTTTACAAGTCTTTTTATTACGTAGTCGACGTGGTCGTTGGAGGAACGAGCATGAAATTCAATTTATACGGCGACGATGTGTGTTATCTGTCTCAATGTGTTCAGAAATGGTAACGCAGTGACAGATACATTCGTCTAGATGTCTCGCCAAATTAAATTTACATCTGAACGACAAGTGAATCATAATTAATCTTGAACATGGAATTATATGGCGGAACAGCCGTTGAATAAATTGGGACATTTCGAGGAGCGACGTGGTTCGGACGTCCGTCTGAATAAAAACTATAGCAAACGTCGTTCGACATACAGGTTTCTTCCTAAGTTTAATTAACATCGATAAATAAATAACAAAGATAATTTAATTAATTAGCAAGATATACACCTTGTGCCTCCAACAGAGAATTAACGATATTACAGTGAAATTTCGTATCGAATAAAGAAACGCTATTAATACCGATTCTATCAATGCTCTTCGTTATAGGGAATCGTTGTAATATCTTGAAACTGTGCAATTCCTCGGACTAAACTACTTTTAACTCGACCATCCGCAAACTGTTCACGATTGACAATTCTTGTACGTGACCGAATTTACGAGCCTGAGAGATAGCGAGCAAACTTACTAATGCGCACAGAAAATAGCAACGACTCGAGTTGAACGTTCCCGCTGATGGATTTGCTCCACGCAAACTCTTCTTTCCTCGAGAGGATACTTTGCAGAGTTTGATGACCTGCGCCTGTCCTTTGATTTAAAAAACAAGCTGTATCTGTGACAGTCGATTCAACGTACGAATAGGTCGCCGTGTCTAAAGAGGCGAAAATATATTTAATCGCATAATGTTGCAATTACGAATCGACGTAACGAAACGAAGAAAGAAGAGAAAAAAGGAGACATAAAAGAGAAAAAATTCACGTTCCTTCCTCCACCCTTGGATCAGCACATCCGCGACGTGGTCCAGCGAGCAGCTGCGTTTAAAGTAACGAGATGACTGTAGGCAGAGATGAGATAACTTCGTCTCAATAATTCAGATACCTAACAGCTTAGCCCTGTCCCGTACATAATGCAGTCTATCCTCCCCATCGTGCTGCCTCGTCCGCCCCTGTTTTGACTGCCAACTCTCTTCCCCACCTCCTGGTGGATCGCACCCCCTCGTCGTCTCACATTGAACCAGTCCGGTTGCAGACTCTTCCTCGGGCTTCTTGCAACGGCTTTTAAAGTGTCAAACCCTCGAATCCGCGATTTGAATCGTTTCGATCCGCCGCACTCCGCCCCACCGCCATTCACCTTGTTAAACATTCATCGTTCCCTATGTTGGATCACGGCTGTAACCGGTCGAACACGAACACGAACACCGGCGCCATTGCGAAAACGACTCGTTTCCTTTTCCGGATGGAAATCCTCGCGGAACGAAAGAACGCCCGTGTTTCTATTCTGCTCTCGTGCCTCTTCCACGAATCGTTTTTCGTCGATCCGATCGAGAACACCTCCGTCGCGAGTACTGTCTTTAACCAGTTAGCTGTATTCGACGAGTATACTCGCGGTGAAGAAACGACGATATTTTGCGTCACGACGAGCCTTGTCGGTAGTAAAATTAAAAAATAAAACAGTCGTTTCGTTACAACTTAATTCTGTATCGTAACAGCCACGCGTACTCTGTGTCTGACGAGTATACTCGTCGTCGCTTGCTTTTTGCGACGCCTTTTACGTACACGCCTTTCAATGTCTTCAAACGAGTCGCAACAGCCAACTGGTTGATATCGCTTCGAGTCCTTCGATTTCTCCCATATATATAAAATTATTTCTATGGTTTCTATGGCGTAGGATGTCGTAAAAGTGACTGAGGCAGTGTGGCGAAGTTTGACGATGAACACGGAATTATTTACGACCGTGTCAGAAAGCAACGACGAAATTTACTCAAAGTCAACGTTCTTAAAAACCGTTTAAGAGAAACAACGCACTACGGAATCGATATATTTGCAATTCGTAACGCGTTGCTCGACATCGAAGGGAACGTACGTGAGAAACATTTCAAATCGTTTAAACCAAAGGTGTCACGTTAAGTGGGATGCTATTTGCATTTGCGCAATTTCATACGAAATAATTGAATAACGAACGCTACAGGATTTCCGATGGTAACTGACGATACAATCAGCAACAGACGATATTATACAAAAAAATAAAGTAGAAAATATACACTGAGACTCGTTCGTACGAGGCTTTGCTCTCAGGAATATCGACGATAAATTATCCATGTGGATCTGTGTATTTATGCTCCATCCACTGCATACGCGGATTTTCCAAATTTATTTCTCCTCCGATTCGGTGTTCAACGTGCGATTCTGTACGGAAAACTTGTTCCTCCAAGTCTCACACGTCTGACGAATAATCAGAGAAATTAATCACAAGATTCGCAATTGCTCGTTGCCGATGAAACTGAAAATGGAAAAGACGCGTACGGATAAAGTTAATCGTATCGCGGTATATTCGCGACGAACGATAAAATCAAGTTTAGAATACTTGTTCGCCAAGTGTTGGCCAAAAGTTATATACTTGACGATAGGGGGATAACGATAAGAGTAATGTGTCCCAGGTTGCGAGAGAATACAGTTATGCCGGCCGCAGTGAATGGGGCGAGGCTGCGTCGGGGCTGCAAAATGTAATCGGCACGGCGCCCTCAATTATTAATTGCTAACCGCGTTAATTACTTGCACGGGTGTAGGCGCAGCTGTCACTGGAACAACGGCGTAGCTACGGATAGATTTTCCAACGGGAACAAACCAAACGTTAATCGAGTTCGTCGACCGTTAACCCTTCGTTAGCTGAAATTTTCCCTTAATTCTAAGACAACAGTGATAATCGATCTGCATTCTTTTACGTTTGATACGAAAATTTGGAAAAGACGATTTTCTGAAAGATTGCTCGCTTTAGTTGCAATGTTTCTCAAGCTCAAATGGAATTTTTCATTAATTTTTGTATCTCGTGAATTTCCACGAAACCAATGTATGGAGAAAATTGATATAAAGGAGACAATTGATACGTGATAAAAGAAAATTACTGGAAATGCGAGTGGACTTGAGCGAATCCGGGAACAAAAGCAAAAAGATGGAACTTAACGAGATACTTTTCGATCTTTGATAGATCGAATCACGGTATAATTAACGAGGAGACTCGTTAGTTAACTGCCACTGGTCTTTAGAGGTGTGCACGGATTGCGTAAGGAAACCAGTTTTGGGAAATTTCAACTACCGTACAAAGTATCGCAATCGTCTTGCGGACATTATATATCTATTCTTTCGTAATTAATTGTTGAATTAACATCTAGAAGAATAATAAAGCAGGTCCGATGCTAAAATTTGTTTTTGATCGTTTAACGATTTCGTTAAATTCTCCAACACGTGTTACGCAACATACAACAGAAATTTCCCTAAAAATTTATTCGTTTGCTCGCTCAAGATCGCAATTACACCAGGCTTCGTCTCCAACATTTGACAACCGTGTTTTTATATTATCTTTTAACGTACGTACTCTGACGAGCTTTTAAAAAAATTCAATGTACCCGGTTCCATTCGTAACAGTATCGGCAACGACTTTGAAGCGTATCTCTGGCGTTCAATAGCGAGATAATATTTCAACGATTTGATACTTAAACCCTCCGATAAATATCACGGAATCAGGCCGTCTAAAGTGTAACTACGAGATTTACTTTTTCCCCACTCGGGTCAAAACTGTACCGAGTCCTGTCCCGTTGCTCCTGTTTCCTTCGTTTTCCCCGATATCCTATCACACGCATTTAATAACTTTCAGAAGAGTGAAATTGCAAATCGTTTGGAAAGCTGGCAGAACGCGGAGAGATAACGCGAGTGCAAGGCTTTCCTACAATTATCGAGCGGGTATTAACGAGACGAAAATAAACGAACTCGATCGGATGTTGATTGCGGCTGAGAAGTGCTGTTATCTGGAATCTCTGCTCGACATCGTCGACTGTGCTAGTCGTTAATCGTGCAACAACCGATCGAGTTGTGTCCCGATTCAACCGACTCGTTCCGTGATACACGGGCTACCGAGGAGTTCTATACGCCCTCCGTTCTCTATCCACGGAAAGATGAACGAGGAAAGAGAAGAAGCTGAGATCGTTCCACGCTGAGATAAACAAAGGTACAACGAAACCGTTTAATTACCGACGACCGGAGATTAACTCTAATGGAACGACGGTGTTTCGTGGCTCGTATGGAAGCGGCATCGCGGCACTCTGATTGGCCGCGTTATCCAGTCTGGCGCCTTTCAGACTCAGGGACATTCTCGGTCAGATCTCGTTGCCGAACGAAGATCTTTCAACGCTAGGAGAATTTATCGCCCATAGGCTGGTTAAATTCGTAAAAGGTATACTTCGGACTTGGAGAACCGACGATGAGTAAAAGGCCGATTATGGCAATTCTTCTGATCCTCGTTGTTTGTTAGACGAGTCTGTTACGCGGTAAGGTTCGAGCAGAGTTTGGTCGATAATTACGCAAGAATTTTCCAAAGAAGAAAATAAAAGATTTCCATAAAAGCTTCGACCTAAGTGACGTTGCCAACAAGTCGACCATTTTCTGCTATCCTAATAGACTTAGTGCTAGAAAACAGACACTCACGAGCCACCCCTGAGCGACCTGACGCTGCACCACCGACGAATCGAATTAACTTTATTACGTTTGTCTTCTGTTTTCCGCTCCAACGACCGCCAGTCTCTTTCCATTGTCCCGGCTCTCCTCGCAGCCGTTTCTCCGATCTCGTTTCGTCTTTTCTACAACACTCCAGCAACCCCCGCCACCCTATCGTTTAACTGGCTGGATCTCGCAAGCATAATTCGGTACACTATGTACCTATGTAACGACAGTAACTTTGATTTTAAAGCTTTGCCTAATCTTCCGTTTTATCCGTTTTCGGAGGACTTGACACGTTGCAAGATGGGAATATCGCAGCGAGAGTATGAAAAAATTCGACGATTTCAAAGATCAGCAATCTTTTCAAACCGTAAAGCTTCGGAATTTCGGAATTCGAGAACTCGACAGCTCGCAGATTTAATATTCGAAAATTTAGGAACTGGAAAATGTTTACCTTTCGCAACTTGGAAGTCTAAGAAGTTGCAAGTTGAAAAAGTTAATTCCATAATTTGTTTAATACGTGTTTTAGCATCATCTCGTCAATAAACACCACGTTGTACTGAAAAATAATAAGTGAAATACTTCCAGCAGTAGGAATAACGTTAAACGAGCGTCAGTTTGTATCGAATATCCGAGAATATCTCATATTAAAGCTAAGAACCAAGTGCAATACTTGTACGAACTTCACGAACGTTCACAATTTTCTTCCGTTGTCTCCACGAGGGACGCTCGATCATTTTCAATCTTTCCATCTGTTTTAGGAGGCAAACGGCGGAAGAAAGAGAGGCCGAGAGGCAGGCGGCGAATCGGTTGATGCTGTCCCTTCAAGCCGAGGCGCTTGGAAAAGTGGCTTATCCCGCAACAGTGCCGAATCATCCAGCGGGAACCACCGTTCCCAGTTTAGACAGACAACAAGCACCCACTGCTCTGACCCATCCTGTGGGTCAGTGGGCCTCGCCGTACGGTCCACCACAGCCTCTAGCCGAACCGATTTGTTGAACCAGGATAATCGACGCGGATTCAAAGACTCTTGCCGAGTGAAACTTGTTACGTATCAGTCGTGTCACATTTCTACGATAGAATAGTTGTACGTTTTCTAGGACCGGTGCGACTCTTGTCGTTGCAGTCTCGTTGCCGTGGTGCAGTGCTTCGAACGATCGTACATTCCCCGCGTTATTTCCTCGATATTTCCAAAGAACAACCACTGACCATGGCTGGAAACGCGAAGCAAAACTCGTTCTTGTAAAGGGCGAATCGAACGCTGTTTGGATATCAGGAGACGTTGCGCGGCGAATTGTCGAAACAGGAAACGATTTTTCAAAAAGACAACGCCGAAGCACGAGAAAGCGGTTTCAAGATTTCGCAATAGAATCGAATTACCATGGCCAGCGTTCGCGATCGGAATCCGATCGAAAACCTGTGGGCAGTTTTGGGAAGAAAAGTTCACGATCAACAGGAGTCGCCGATAGAATACGTCAGCGAACTTGGAAAGAGAAATAAAATCAGCGTAGGCGAATACTCGAGACGAAACTTTCGATAAATTAGCGGACGGTGTACCTAGAGGATTAATTAGTAGCAATCAAAAGTAAAGAAAAATCCATTGAATGGAAACGTAACGAAATTAGCATTGAATTTGTATTTTTTCACAGGCGAAAACACAAGTTTTGTACATTCAGTTTCGCTTTACATTCTAACTATATCAACGATTTTCTTTCAATACGATGAAAAATCTACAAATAGGCTCGCGTTTATAATTATTCGCGTCACTGTGTCTCTCTTCGTTTCCACCGTAGAGATACGAAGACGAAGTACGCGAGTCATGCGTTAACCGTGCGATGTGAGAATAGAAAGAGAACGCCACGTACAGGCCTTTTCTGTTCTTGTCTAATCAGACATGCATCAGACCGCTCGTTGATCGGTGGTGTTACACTTACATATTTGCTGTACGAATGTGCATGCTTTATTAGCTGTTAGACAAGGAACGAGCAGCCTCTATGCAGCGTTCGCGCACCCTATCTTCGCATCTCTGTTATGTTTTGCCAATTGCTTTACAAGGAATAACAGAATAACAGAGCAGACTTCGCAGCGAGATGGCAACGACAAAAGTCGCGCATCTGCGACCGGGCCTTACTGCGAAAATAGCAGTCGTTCACACTTGAAAACGTTAACAGAAAGAGGGCTGGAATAGCTTACTCAATTCGTATTTTTATCTTCGTCTCCTTCCAGTTTTCTTTAGACGTGTTTGAAACTTGTAGTGAGATTTGCTGTTAAATTTGATTTAGTACGTTTTCGATGGAAACGATGGAGCGAGTAGCTTTTGCTTAATTTCGAACGAAGATTTGTTATTAAATGATAGTATTTGATGTGAGGGAAAGATGGAAACTTGAAATGTAATTATAGTTGATAACGTGGAAATATATATCGCGAATGTTGTTGGATATTACTTGTCCTTTTTCGTTCGATCTCTGTATCCGCATGTTTAAATGTCCTTTTATACACAACGTTTCTTCAGTCGGCGGATTACGAAAACCATACTGAGATTATTAGAACCTCCGAAATTTCATAGCAGATAGCTCGACGAATAACGATATATTTTTCATTTATTTTCATATCAAAACGCACGATATTTTTTGAAATGTCACAGTGACGTTCAACATGCTCCAATTTGAGAATGTATAGAAAGAATCGACGAACGCAACGAGCGATTTCAAACCGAATCTCTGAAATCTCAGGAATATGTTCCACTTTATTTATATCGACCTGTATCAAATATGAACGATAAAATGGCAAGGCGAATCGTCACTGTAATTCCATCAATCTCGAGTTTAACACGCGACAATTTCTTCTCTATTACGAATCTATTAGTCGTATAAATACACGCGCACTCACACGTGTAACGGGAATTTAAAAAATTTTCCAAAACGACAACTAATCGCAGTGCGCTAATTTGACGTGGCATTATTGACAGAGAGAAGAAGTCAGAGAGATCGAACGAAAAAGAGCATCAGAGGCCAGCAGTCGTCTTAATTGCGCTATTTCTAGGTAGTATCAACGTCTTACCGTCACGACGGCCAATTTTATCGACGTACTTAATTAACGAACCGAGGGGACTGATAGGGAGCTAAAAAAGAAACTTAAATAATTACGGATTGCTCTCGTTTTTTCGCCATTGCCACCCCTGTGAGCTCGCTCCGCGGAAATTTACCCTCGTCAAACAGACACGATACGCAGGGACACCGAAAGAAAGTAGAAACATAGAAAGGAGAAGAGGAAAGGCGAAGAGTGAGATCCGGACAGCTTCCGAAGTTCGCGAAATTCTTCGATAGGCGATGGAATTAACCCTTTCGACGACGGCTGATGGCCATCCTCTGCAGTACGTCGACTCTTTTTAATCCCTTTTAGGACCAGATTTTTTATCTTGTTTTTATCTTTTGTAACATAAAAATGGTACAGTCATCGGATATCAACAATTAGATCATCGCCACCTGCTAACTAGCGATTCGCATTTTGCGCTGTACGTACGCATTTTTAAAAATTTCAAAATTCGGAAATTGCAACTATCGTAGAAGGAGGCGAGGTTTAACGAATATCAGCGTAGTCTTTTACCTTCGTTTAACATTTTTTCGTAGAGTATACATCTCGTCCGCGTCGTTCCGCTTGCGAAGAGATCTCGTACACCGTACGATGTCCTGTTCCTCAATGTCAAACAACTTTTGTAACCGCATTCGATTGAAATTAAAGACGAAAAAGAAATTGAAAGGTAGGATATTAAGGAAAGAACAAAAAGATCTCGTCGTTAAAAGAGTTGAAACTATATTATCCAAGAATTTCGTCTTACCGATACTTTAACGCAGCAATAATCGAAGGCGTCGCAAAACACGATTTATGTATACAATGCAATATCATTGACCGGAAGCCTCCTCCTCGGTGCATCTTTCGAACGACGCAGCTTAATTGAAAGATCCGCACGACATATCTGTGTATATATTAGCGCGATAGTTTGTAATTAAAAACATTACGATGTATGTACGATATTAATCCGTTTCTGCGATCGACTTGGCGACAGCGTTTTGTTTCGAACATTAGACGTGCACACATGTACTTACACATCATACAAATACAGGAAGAAGATATTAGATATTAGGTGTACGAGAGAATTTTATGCTTTTACGAACAGAACGTTCCCTTTGATTTTTCGTTGACGACAATCTCAATATCGTTGTTTGCGCGTTTCGACCCAATGAATTTTTTTATTTCTGTATCACAAACTTTACACGGCCTTTGTTTTGACAAATTTTTGTTATTTCTCGTCAAGTACGAAAGAAATTAGTTCGGTAGCTTCAATAGCGTTTATTGTACGATTGTGCGATTTATTCCATACAAATAAGCGAAAAAGAAGAAATAGCAACCGTGGAAAGAACTTTATTAAGAAAATCAATTTTTAATACTTTAATCCGGCAGTAAGGGAACAAAGCTGAATGAGTTTAAGCGTATTGTTTGTAGCATTGAATTTGGAAGTTATATTTCGATTAAGTGTTAGGAAAATGAACGTTCCTCGCATTTTTTTCCCTTCTTATCTTTCAACCGAAGTTACATCCTCGGTCTTGCTTCCATTCCAAGCCACACGGAAAATTGTGAACGACATTCCATTTTTTAAAGATTCGAATTACCGAGGAACGGGTCGCACTGTCTCGAACCGAGACAATCCTACAAATTGTAACACTTGAAGAGCGAAAAAATTCTTTCTTACGTCTAATGCACAAATTACCATGTACGTGTATGTAAAGATCACATGAGAAAACTATAGGTCGCATTTTCTATTTTTTTATAGGGAACGATATCGAAAAGTTCTAAAAATATTTATTTCCATAACACAGCCACGTTGTCGATTTCTTACCTTTCATAAATCCTATTTTCCATCTATTTCTACCAATTTCTGGAAGATACGTATCCGTCAAACTAGCTGATCATCATCTTCTTCAACCGCGTCGTGTCAAAATTCTCTCCTTTTAGTCATCAAACAGCGTAAACGTGGAAAAAAAAATCAACAAAGAATGGACTTATCACATTTTTCTCGTGTGACCGCTATATCCTACAACTGTGCAACTATACAAACACATACACCCTGTACAATATTATTTTCTTAGGAATACAAAAAATCGTAAAGAGTAATTAAGAATGTACTATCGCGAAAAGATATTGTAAGTTATAAATAAATATATATATATATAATGTATAATATATATGTATATATGATATGATATATATATATCATATATATTATATCTATATATATCGCTACCACTAAGGTTCGTCGTCGAAATAGAGCGTGTAAGCCGTCTAATTAGGTACGTAATATTTATGTTAAGAGCAACCGTAGAATTATCGATCGTAGAGAACGATGTGATGTTATATAAGTACGTGTAACGTTGTATATAATTGACAAATAGAAGTAATACATATACATATACATATACATATATATATATATATTATACATAAAATGATTCAACTGGTACGCGTATACGTTGATTGTACGAAACTTCACGAAACCATAATAAGCGAACACATGATAGAATATTAGAAAATCCTTGGCTTAGTAATTTATTTGTTAAACAACCGACTCTTAACATACGATTGTTGATGATATTACCGTCTAATTTTCCGTTCTCCGTTAAATCGTTCAACGCCGATACCGATTACGTACGTTTCATTTTCGTAGGTAACACCATGTTAATGTAAGATAAGAGAAATAATCAGCGAAACAGCCACGAATGATCCGAATAAATCGTTCTTTTTCGCAAAAAGATGATCGTTTCTGTCCATTTGGCACTTGGATTTCTTCAGATTTCTCCGCTTGAACGCATCTCGTCCGGCCCGCGACACACGACTCATGATTTCTTCAACGCCTGGATACATTTTATAAGGTAGACTGTATATATTTTTTCAATTGTATCGCACAGAATAAATTTATATGACCCAACGTGAACGAGCGAATAGTTTTCTGCTACGACGAATCATTTGTATGTATGGAACCCGTTTCGTGAGAGGGAGAAGGTCCTGCACGATCACGATGTTTGTTTCTCGTGATCGAGGAACCCTAGGATCGACGTTACGAAAGAACCGGAAGTTTCGCGTGTTACCAGGCGTCACGGATTGCTCTCACATTGTAACATCTCTCACCCCTCTGCACGGTAAAACGGTGCAATTTCGTTGTAAATCGACCATGAGAGGGAAAAAGAGAGTGGCCACTAAATGACAGAGTAGCAAACGCTCGTTGAAAAACGATTCCGTGAAATTCATTTTCTGCAGAATTCGAACTGTCACTTACACGTGAATCGCAGTTGTGTATTTCTCAGATCGATTCGATGGATCAACGTTGGCTCTATTTTTGTTCGGTTATAAAACATATACGATCTCCGTGTTTTTCCATTTTTCTGTTTTACCGTTCCACTTCGAATTACAGGTGCAGTTTGTCCGCTTCGTGTCCTGTCAATGTTTGCCTAAATTCGCCGAAGAAAATAGTTACGTTTCGTTGTTACCTTTCACGGATGATAGCGTTTACCATCTATCGTTTTTCATATACGCCAGAGAAGAATCGCATAGAGCTGAGTGAGCTCCATTGATCATGGAAAACTTAATTACGATCGAGCGTCAGTGAAATATAAATCGAATCAGGAATCACGCTCGACAACAAAACTATTTCAGCTTTAATCTGCGATCGTTAATGGAATTATATATCGGCCGAAGCTGTCACATAATGCTCATCCATTGCAAATGAGTCGTAATAAAGCTGATTCGGCAACGTTAAATAAATTTTCATCCTTCTTATATTAAACATCTTCGAAATTCGATATCATTAATTTTTCTCTTATTTCTTCTCCATTTTCATTGTGTCGTTCCTTAACTATATCCAGCAAACACGTACACAGTCGCTTCTTTCTCTCTCCCTCTCTATCTCTATCTATCTATCTATCTCTCTATCTCTCTTTCTCTGTTTCTCTGTTTCTCGTCCTCTCTGATCACCCTAATCGTTGTCTTTCCGCAGCGAATTATCCCACTTGAGCTAGGAGAGCTGCTAGTGCCGGATGTGGCCACGTTTACTGCCTATAATTGCAGAGAAGACGCGGCGCGCCGTTCCGCCCAATTATTTGGGGACAAATGCCCGCCAAAAAAGAAGCCTTCGACTCGTCCGCCGGGCTAAGGACGTCTCTCGGTGGATCGTCAGAAAATTATTTATGACGGAAAAATAATTGCCGGTACGTTTTACTTTCCGCCCCATATTTCTTATTTTCTTTTAATTTGCTCCACACATGTAGACGACAGATACGACTATTTTAACTTGCACCGATATACCTAGAGAATACTCGTGAGAATGTTGGTCTCCTTGAGGAATATGATGAAATAAAGAATGTCTGATAAATGAGGAACGTCTGTA